TAGGGTTTAGGTCTAGGGTTTAGGTCTAGGGTTCAGGGTTCAGGGTTCAGGGTTGAGGGTTGAGGGTTTAGGCTTTAGGGTAAAGGGTTTAGGGTTACCGAGGCCGGGCTGAGGGTTTTCACGGGTCTAGGGGTTAGGGTTTTAGGGTCTTTTCCTCCCCGGAATACCGAGGCCGGGTCCGTTTTAGGGTTTTGGAGGGGTTTTTAGGGGGGTTTAGGGGGTTTAGGGTTGTCATTGAGGGTTTAGAGTTTAGGGTTTAGGGTTTGGGGTTCTGGGGATTTTGGGGTTTTGGGGTTAGGGCCTTAGGGTCTTACGGTCTTGCGGTCTCAGGGTCTTAGGGTCTTAGGGTATTTATATCTTAGGGTCAGGGTCTGAGGGTCTCGGGGTCTTAGGGTCTCAGGGTCTTAGGGTCTCAGGGTTTGTTTCAGGGTCTAGGGGTTAGCATTTAGGGTTTAGCGGTTAAGGTTTGAGAGTTCAGGGGTTTCGGGGTTTTGGGTCCGGTGCTTAGGGTTTGGGGGTTTAGCGTTTTTTGTTGTCTAGAGTCTAGGCGTTTGGGGGTTCAGGGTTTAGGTTCAGGCCCTAAACCCCAAAACCCCAAACCCTAAACCCTAAACACAAGGGTTTAAGAGCTTAAGGTACTTGTCGAACATTTGGTGTTCGGGGTCTCTATGGCTCTGGAGTTGTTGAGACCACCCAGGAATCGGCAGTAAGAACCCGATACTCCAATGTTGACGCTACATATCATCTTGGAGCCTGCCCTAAGGGTCCATGTACCTGATTATTATGGGTTTAGGGCTTAGGGCTTAGGGTTTAGGGTTTAGGGTTTAGGGTTCCATGTACCTCATTGTCATATGCTTCGGCCCGAAAGTCCAAGTACTTTAAGGCCCAAGTATTCCCCATTCAGGTACATGGACCCTCCTAAACCCTAAACCCTAAACCCTAAACCCTAAACACCAAACACCCTAAACCCTAAACCGTCGGTCATAAGGCAATTGCACAGACACCGACACTACCAGGGACTGAGGCTTCCAGGGGAGCCTATACCTCTACATGACGGAATACACACTTAAAGTATATACTAGGACCGGGTAGGCCCTTTTTTCCTTTCTTGGGGGTTGGGGTTCCCTTAAAAATTCCCCTAAAACCAAAAAGGGCACCCTTTTTTTCCTAGGTTACTCCCGGGTCTAGTATAGGGACTTGTTCAGGAATACCTTGAAACTAAGCAGTAAACCTTAAATGAAGGGTTTAGGGTTTAGGGTTTAGGGTTTAGGGTTTATAATCGGTTTTACGGTTTACATGATATAGGGGCATACATCGGCTTTTGAAAAGGAGTTTTCCTCAACGCAGATCATGGCTCTCATTGTGAATTCACAGGCCTATTCCTTAATCACACCTGGTCTTTTTCTATCACCAGGGTTTAGGAATTTAGGGTTCAGGGTTTATGCTTGGTTCAGTCCTTCTTTCGTGGAAGGAATCGACAAAAGAGTTTGGCCACATTCTTTCTGCTTTGTTGGGCTTCGGACGTGGGGCGTAGGCGTCTCTGCAGTAGTTTGGCGTTAGGGTGACTTACTCAGCAACTGTGCGTACCGGGTGACCGGGTGACTAGGGTTTAGGGTGCCAAAACCGTCAGCCCTAAACCCTGCACCCTCAGGCTCAAGATAGCCCCAAAAACCTTGTTTGTAGGAGTCCATGGAGCAACCCTAAACCCTAAACCCTAAGCCCTGAACCCTAAGCCCTAAACCCTAAACCCTAAGCTGTATGCGAAGCCCTTGGCAGGATCCAGAAGCGGTCCGCAGGAGGGTCCGTGCGCTGCAGAAGAAGGTGCGCGAGATTGAGAGACTTGGCGGCGACATACCCTGATCAGGAGGGTCCACGTACGTAAAGGGGTTATACTCGGGCCTTCATAATAGGAGTTTACGATAATAAGGGGCCCTAATACATAGACCCCAAAATAGAGTCGGATTCCCGTACAATGAATGACCCAGAAAAAGTACCCTTCATTTCGGAAACCCCCAGTATGGTACTTTCTTCCCGTGTCGTGCCCTAAGGGTCCAAATAGGGAATACTTTCGCCTTAAAGCACCTCCTATACAGGGTTTACAGCTTAGGAAGTTTAGGAAGTTCAGGAAGTCTAGGAAGTTTAGGGGTTTAGGGTTTAGGGTTTAGGGTGTAGGGAAGTGTAGGATTTAGGGGTTAGTGGTGAGGGTTTCCGGTTTAAGGACTTTGGTGCCTGAAGTGTATGATCAGGTGCGTGGACCCTTAGGGGTGCCTTTGGGCAAGTGTGTAGCCCTAAACCCCAAACCCGAAACCCGAAACCCTAAACCCTAAACCCTAAACCCTAAACCCTAAACCTGAGCCACCGGAGCCGCCGGAGTCGGAAGGCTTTGGTCGGCTCGGGAGAGGGGCCATTCAGGGTGCAAGAGAATTTGGGGTTTAGGGTTTAGGGTTTAGGGTTTAGGGCCCACAGAGTGGCGCGAATATATATATATATATATATGTATATATATACCCTAAACCCTAAACCCCAAACCCTAAACCCTAAACCCTAATTCCCTCATTCCCTACTCAGAAACCACGGGGGTAAGTCCAAGGGCGATGAAGTTCGTGCATGTCGACTGGTGCGAAGGGGGAGGGAATTGGTGGGGTTTGCAGGGTTTGGGGTTCACATTTTGCACAACTAGCTCCTGCCGGTCCGCACTCCTTCCGCAAGCCTCATAAACCTGTCAACCCATCCCAGACGCAGCCCAGGAAACTAAAGCAGACGCCCACTGCGTCGCTCGACGTCCTGCAGCGGCAGAAGATTGGCACCGAACCTGCGTCTCGCCTCGGATTGCCCTAATGGTCCATGTACCTTATTACCTTATTATTGTATGGGGTTTAGGGTTTGGGGTTTAGGGTTTAGGGTTCAGGGTTTGTGTTTAGGGTTTAGGGTTTAGGGTTTAGGGTTTAGGGTTTAGGGTTTAGGGTTTTAGGGTTTCGGGTTTAGGGTTCCATGTACCTTAGATTTGTAGGCCCAAGTATTCCCTATTTAGGTACATGGACCCTGAACCCTAAACCCTAAACCCCTATTCCCCTATTCCCTATTTAGGTACATGAACCCTGAGGGTTATATGACTTTGCTGTTGATGATTCAGGCATGGTCTGGTATTCAGTTGAACCTTTGCCGCTGTCGCAAAGCCACAAAAAATAACCCGAACCCACAAGGCTAGGGTTTAGGGTTTAGGGTTTAGGGTTTAGGGTTTAGGGTTTAGGGTTTAGGGTTTAGGGTTTAGGGTTTAGGGTTTAGGGTTTAGGGTTTAGGGTTTAGGGTTAACATACCATAATCTGGGAATTATCAAACCCTAAGGGTCCATGTCCTCAAGCAGGGAATACTTGGCCTAAACCCTAAACCCTAAACCCTAAACCCTAAACCCCAAACCCCAAACCCTAAACCCTAAACCCCAAACCCTAAACCCTAAACCCTAAACCCTAAACCCTAAACCCTAAACCCTACGCCCAAGAATCCATGGACCCTTAGAAAAAGTTGCAACTGGTGGCAGCTGCAGGAGATCCAAGCGGAGCTGGCCAAGCTCGAAGCTCCCGGGCTCTTACAGGTGTAGGGTTTAGGGTTTAGGGTTTAGGGTTTAGGGTTTAGGGCTTAGGGTTTAGGGTTTAGGGTTTAGGGTTTAGGGTTTAGGGTTTAGGGTTTAGGGTTTAGGGTTTAGGCTTTAGGCTTTAGGGTTTTGGGGTTTGGGGTTTGGGGTTTAGGGTTTTAGGGTTTAGGGGTTAGGGTGTAGGGTTTGGGTTTTAGGGTTTAGGGTTTAGGGTTAGGGTTTGGGTTTTAGGGTTTAGGGTTTAGGGTTTTAGGGGTTAGGGTGTAGGGTTTAGGGTTTGGGGTTTAGGGTGCAGCGTTTAGGGGTAGGGTTTAGGGTTTTGGGTGTAGGGTGTGGGTTTTAGGGTTTAGGGTTTGGGGTTTAGTGTTTAGAGTTTAGGGGACAACCCCTAGTCTACCCAAGGGACTAATGGAGGAGAGCCTGATAAGGGACCTTGGGGGTTCTTTGGAGGTTATTTAGGGGGTATAAAGTATATGTAAGGCCTATATTTTAGGTTAAACCTTGGGAGATTCCACCTTATACTAGCAGTCCTTGATAGGGATTATAATAGGGGGGTTACTATAATCCTTATTAAGGAGTGCTAGTATACCGGTGAACATCCCAAGTTAAACCCTCAACCCTTAATCTACCCTAGAACCTAAACCCTCAACCCTCGACCCTGGACGCTGCCTTAAACGACCAGACCTGTTTTTGCTTGTCCTGTAGGCTCAGACCCTAAACCCTACACCCCAAAACCCTAAGCACGACATTCGACACCCGACACCCTACACCCTAGTCACTAAACCCTAAACCCTAAACCCTAAACCCTAAACCCTACACCCTAAACCCTAAACCCTAAACCCTAAACCCTAAACCCTAAACCCTAAACCCTAAACCCTAAACCCTGCAAGCTACAAGAAAGGAGGGACGTTTAGCCGACACTCCTGGCGGCCCAGAGCCTAAGCCCCTTACATCCCTCAGTGCCCATATACTGGGACCAGAGTAGGCTCTTATCCCTTCTATAAAGGTTCCTGGGTTTTGGAGTACTATACTTTAATACTTTTGTTGGTTCTGGGTTCCTATTGTAGTTACTTGTACCTAAAAAGTATACACTTGTTTTCCAGGGTCTACCTCCAAAGGTGGGGTTCAGGTTTGCGTAGAAGCCCCTTTAAAAGACAAAAGGTGCCCTTTTCCGTTTTTCAGGTTACTCTTGGGTCTAGAATAACTTACAAGCCCTCTATGTTTAGTTCTCTAAAATCAGTTTGAGGGATCCTTAAGGTGCAGTACTAAATAGGGATAGAGAACAGATGAACTTGCCAGTTCCTACCAGCTAGCTGGAACCCTGAGCCTAGTGCTGCTGGACAACGTGCTTGCAGTCGGATTCGTTCCGGCCCCATAACCGCACTGGCGGTTGAACTCACCGATCCGCATGTTCGTCGATTCAACGAGGCGTTGGTGAGGGGAGCTGCTGCAAGTCGTCTCATTGGCCGGGTCACACACAATACCCTAAACCCTAGCCCCTACACGTGCAACTCCTACCAGGAACCACCCGGAGCTTCCTTGTCAGGGTGCGATGTCGTAGTCAAACAGGTGTAGCCTCTCACCTTTGTTGAGGGGACCCCTAAACCCTAAACACTAAACCCTAAACCCTACAACCCTGAACCCTGAACCCTGAACCCTGAACCCTAAACCCTAAACCCTAAACCCTAAACCCTAAACCCTAAACCCTAAACCGATCAGATGACACCAAAGCCAAGGGCTTTTTAGGCTTTCTAGGGGGCAGTCGAAGTTCCCAAGGACCAGCTGGATCTACTCGAACGGCCCCCGTGCCCTGGCCGAGATAGCCCAAAAGAGTTGGGAGGGTTTAGGATTTAGGGTTTAGGGTTCAGGGTTTAGGGTTTAGAGTTTAGGGTTTAGGGTTTAGGGTTCCCGAACTCTGCCGCCCAAACCTCCCCCCGCCTCTCTCCCCCCCTTCCCCCCCTCCCCCCGAAACCTTGGGGACGAAATGAACCCCAAAAGGGTTTATGGGTCATATACCTCAATAGGAATTATAGTAGTATAGGGTATATGACCCCAATTTTAGGGTTCATTTGGTCCCCAACAAAATACATGGTATTCACAAGTCACGAAGTCACTGGACGTGCAGGCTCAGGCCTTCAGCTCCCCCACGCTTGAACCCTAAACCCTAAACCCTAAACCCTAAACCCTAAACCCTAAGCCCTAAGCCCTAAACCCTAAACCCTAAACCCTAAACCCTAAACCCTAAACCCTAATTCGGAACACATTTCAGAGGGCTTTCGGAGTGCCAACCTGCAGTAAATCCTAGATCCTTTGTTTCTGCGAGATCGTCTCAGCTCGAAAAAGGTCAAGGCTTAAGCTCAGGGTTTTCAGGGTTTGGGGTTGTATTTCCCTGCTATTTTTGTTGGGTTCTGTTGAGTTCTTGCCTAAAAAAAGATGATTCTATGCCCTGACCCAAAATCCCTTAGACTAGGGCTCTGAGGGTTTCAGGGTTTAGGGTTTCGGGTTAAGTGTGTAGCCCTAAACCCTAAACCCGAAACTTTATGGTCTGTGGGTTTAGGCTCTCGGGGCTTTCGTCAGCAGGAAGATGATCTTCGACGTGGACACGGACGACGGCGTCAGACAGATCCGCGTCTACGAGGCCGCTGCCGGTGTACATTTTGAGTCATTTGTTGTGGGTTTATGGTTTTGTGTGCCTTCTTAGTGTGGTTAATTTCGGGATACGTCAAGAAGCTGACGTGGCGTGGGGTTATCTAGTTTCCAATCGGTGCCGAGGTGCACCTATCGCTCGCACCCGAAGCCCTAAACCTTAAAGACCAAGCCTGGGATGTTCCCCCGCACACTACAGTCCTTAATTGGGATTACAGTAAGGGGGTACTATAACCCCTGCTAAGGACTGCTAGTAAAGGGGGGAGCATCCCGACCCCAAGGCCTCGAATTCCCATCGAACCCTGAACCCTTCGAGCTTAGTGGTGTTGAAGTTGAGGTGCTTGGGACCAGATGAACCCTGACTGAGTGTCTGGTCCATGTACCCTTTGCCCTAAACCCTAAACCCTAAACCCTAAACCCTAAAACCCTAAAACCCTAAACCCAGTATGTTCGTAGTCGGTGCCTTGGCAAGCCAGCAGTCGGGAGCGTGCGGCACCCGCCCGCCCATAAGCCACGCAAGAACCCTAAACCCTACACCCTACAACCTAAAACCTAAATCCTGAACCCTGATCCCTGAACCCTAAACCCTAAACCCTAAACCCTAAACCCTAAACCCTAAACCCTAAACCCTAAACCCTAAACCCTAAACCCTAAACCCCAGCCCTAAACCCTAAACCCTAAACCCTTAGCCAACGGCCCTGACACAACTAGTGGGCTGAAGCTCATACGATCCTGGCGCTGCCAGGGCGACGACTGCTACACCCTCGCCAAGTAGCTAAGCTGCTTTCTAAACCCTATACCCTAATCCCGAAGCCCTAAACCCTAAACCCTAAACCCTAAACCCTAAACCCTAAACCCTAAACCCTAAACCCTAAACCCTAAACCCTAAACCCTAAACCCTAAACCCTAAACCCTAAACCCTAAACTAAACCCTAAACCCTAAACCCTAAATCCTCAACCCTAAATCCTAAACCCCAAACCCTGAACCCCAAAAAATCCTACAAACCCTGCAAGCCCGAAGCCCTCGGCGCGGTTGCTTTGGTTTGGTCATGCACATCAGCACTCGAGGTGCTGTTCTAAATCAGGGTGCCTCTTTGTGTGAGTTTTTTTGCAACCCCTACTACCTACAATATGTGTTTTGTTTGAAGACGAATTACATTCACCCATGCGGGGCTTAAATTCCCCACCACCCCACCCCCCCCCCCCCCCCCGCCCGCCCCCGGCTGTCGCTTCTAGTGCGGAATGCTCTGGAGCACGTACAGGAGTCTAGGGTTAACGGTTATGGGCATGCCGTCGTTGTATGTCTACATGTCGCCATCCTTGTGAGCCATGGAGGCTCCTCAGGTTTTCGGGTTCTTCGCTTGAGTACGTCTGGCTGATCTTTCAGGCCCGTAGCGGTTGCCGTATCATGTAACATGTAGGGACCTATGAACCCTAAACCCGGAGACCCCAAGCCCCAAAAGATCTATGTAATCTATGTACCTATACAGGCCCTTGAACCCCTAACAGGGGGCCCAAGTGTCGTCCTATGTACCCTATAAACGCTCTTAAGCCCCTTACCCCCCAAAGCAAACCTCAAACCCCCCAAAACCCCCAAAACCCCTAACCCTGAACCCCCTCCCCCCCAAAGGAAACAAACAAAAAATAATTGCAAAACCCCCCAAGTCCCTAAACCCTAAACCTGAAGCCCTAAACCCTAAACCCTAAACCCTAAACCCTAAACCCCAAAAACCGCCGACATCCGAGGCAGTTCTGCGACAAAGCGGGGCTGGATGACGAGCTCGCAGGGCTCCTGGCCGCCTCCCGGCTGGCTTCCTTATTGTTGGGGGAGGTTCATGGTGATGCAGATTATGTATGTGTATATAATATGGTTATAAATAAATAAATAAATATATATATATGTATGTTCATCAAGCATTAGACATGAGTTGATACATAGTTTTCGTTTCTTGTTTGTATAAGACAAGGCAGAGATAGAGAGAGAGAGAGAGAGTGTGTGTGTGTGTGTGTGGGTGGGTGTGTGGGTGTGTGTGCGTGTGGGCGCGCGTGGGCGAGCGTGCGCGCGTGTGCGCGTGTGCGCGTGTGGGCGTGTGCGCGTGTGCGCGCGTGTGCGCGCGTGTGCGCCCGTGTGCGCGTGTGCGCGTGCGCGCGTGCGCGCATGTGCGCGTGTTCCCGTGTACGCGCGTGGTCGCGTGTGCGCGCGTGTGTGCGTGTGTGCGCGCGTGTGTGCGCTTGTGTGCGTGTGTGCGTGTGCGCGTGTGTGCGTGTGTGCGCGTGTGCGCGTGTGTGTGTGTGTGTGTGTGTGTGTGTGTGTGTGTGTGTGTGTGTGTGTGTGTGTGTGTGTGTGTGTGTGTGTGCGTGTGTGTGCGTGTGTGCGCATGTGTGCGCATGCGTGTGTGCGTCCGTGCGTGCGCGCGTCCGTGCGTGCGCGCGTCCGTGCGTGCGTGCGTGCGTGCGTGCGTGCGTGCGTGCGTGCGTGCGTGGGTGTGTGTGTGTGTGTGAGTGAGGGATAGAGGCAGAGAGAGAAGAAGAGAGAAAGTGACAGAGACAAGGGGGCCCTAACTAGGTTGGTTTTTGTAATCTTTTCTACGTCTTCCTCATGTGGGTTTTATAAGGGGCTCTGTGTATAAATGTTTTTCAAATGCTTTACAGGCCAATCGTTATGCCTCTCAGGTAGCTTCGTGAGCTCAGGGGGATGGCGGAAGCAAGGTCTGCGTTTTGTTCTTTTTTTGCGGGGTTTAGGGTTTAGGGTTTAGGGTTTATAGGGCTTAGGGTTTAGGGTTTAGGGTTTAGGGTTTATAGGGTTTAGGGTTTAGGGTTTAGGGGGCTAGGCCGAACAAACTCTAGGAATTCGATTTTCCCCAATGCCTCCAAGCCCAGTCTTGAAGGGCTTAGAGTTTCGGGTTTTAAGGTTTGGGTTTCAGGGTTTAGGGTTTAGGGTTTAGGGTTTAGGGTTTAGGGTTTAGGGTTTAGGGTTTAGGGTCAGACGTTATACTGGGGATCCGAAGAACTCAATGTTTCATGAACCGGAGCGGAATCGAGTTTTCGTGCGAGAGACGAGCAGAACCAGGGTATTGCAAGCATACCTTGTTAGAATCAGACTGGGTGTGTCTGGCAGCTTTTGAGTGGTTTAGGGTTTATAGGGTTTAGGGTTTAGGGTTTAGGGTTTAGGGTTTAGGGTTTAGGCTGGCAGCTCTTGAGTGATATTTGGGATTATAAGGGGATGAGTTTTGATAGCTCTGTATCTTTTGGGTTCTCTTACGTGGCTAGAAATTCCCTTCTGCAACATGGCATCCGCCCTAACAGGCCACTTGAAGCTTCAACCCTCAGCTGAAGACCTGAAACATGAAGGGCTTAAGGCTTCGGGCTTAGAGTTTAGGGTTTAGGGATTAGGGTTTAGGGGTTAGGGTTTAGGGTTTAGGGCTTAGGGGTTAGGGTTTAGGGTCCTTAAAGCCCTAAGCCGAAGAGACCCTGGCTTCCGCCCAGGCCAACATGGAGCAGCGCATGTACCAGGAGTTTGAGTGAGCTTGTCTTACTGGCTCTTGGTAGGGAATGGGGGAATTCGCCAGCTCGTAGAGACCCTTAGCAATTTCTATAGGGGATGTAAGCTAGTTTGCCTAATTCCCTCATTCCTTACGAAGATCCAAAGTAGGTTGTGTGTCCGCCTGGCGAGAGAAAGGAAAACAAAGATGAAGACACAGCATACTTGAGCTCTTGACTTTTGAGGGCTTGTAGGGTTTGGGGGGTTGCACCCTGCAAAGCCTCCTAAACCCTAAATCCTGTGAGCCCTTGAAGCAGTAGGATGTGGGGTGTTATTAAGGTTTACTGTTTCAAGACTTTAGAGTTTGGGGCCTTTGGGGTGTTAGGATTGAGTTTTCCAAGGGTAGTTGCATGTTCTGAAGTATGGGCCCTTGGGTTGTGTAGGGTATATAGGGGGAATATAAGGAATCCCCTGCTTGAGGGCCCATATTAAGGGACCATGCAACGTAGGGTTTAGGCGGGATTCTTACAGTGGGGTTCCGGGTCAGGTTGTGGGGTTTGCACATTGCACAGTACTGTAGGGTTGTGGCATGCGTCGGGTTCGTCTTTGTTGGGTTTAGGGTTTAGGGTTTAGGGTTTAGGGTTTAGGGTTTAGGGTTTAGGGTTTAGGGTCATGGTTTGGGATGTCACTTGTATGCGGCAGCTGTAGTGCGCATACTAGACTAGCTGCAACACCTCAAGACGAGATGCGCGCCTGTGCTCTAAACGTGCACGGCTTCCGAGGCGATGATGACGAGGATGACATTCCAAACTTTGAGAACGACTCTCGGCCCAGCTTAGCAGGGGCGACCTTGGACCCTTGCTCAATCCCATAAACCCTACGATTCCGAAGAAGCCCTCTTCCCCCTAAACCCTAAACCCTAAACCCTGAACCCTAAACCCAAAACCCAAAACCTGCACATGGTTCCCCAGAGGAGGCAGCCCTAACACCCCCCCCCCCCCCCTGGTGGAGCCCCAAACCCTAAGCCCCCTAAACCCCTAACCCTAAACCCCTAAACCCTAAACCCTAAACCCCTAAACCCCTGAACCCTAAAACCCTAAACCCCTGAACCCCTAGACCCCTAAACCCATAAACCCCTAAACCCCTCAACCCCCAAACCCCTAAACCGCGCATCGCGCATCTTCGCAGCCGAGGACTTCGGCCGCAACCAGGTCCAGAAGGCCAACTGGCAGGCGCCCCTTTTAGGGTCTCAGGGTTTAGGGTTTAGGGTTTAGGGTTTAGGGTTTAGGATTTGAGGGTTTCAGGGTTTATGTTTAAGTTTAGATATTAAGGGTTTACGAATTTTGGCGTGGGGGTTTGGATTGCATGTGAAATTTCGATGGGCCATTGTTCCTATACAACTCTAATAAACCCGTAGAAGCTTTGTGAATTTTATGGGGCCCCCTCCAAAGTTTACCTGAGTTTTTTGTTGGAGTTGTGGGCCTTTAGGGCTTCAAAACCCGAAGCCTAAACCCAAGACCTTAAACCCTAAACCCGAAACCTGAACTTTTAGGGTTTTCGGGTTTAGGGTTTAGGGTTTAGGGTTTGCGGCAGTCTATGAGGATGTGGGCGTTGACCTTGATGCCGACACGATCATCGGCTGCATTGCGGCCTGTATGACGGATCACGGGCTCAGCACGGCGCCGCCGACGAGATACCCTAGCCCCTAAACCCTAAACGCCAAATCGAGCTGCCCTGGTGGGATCGACCTCGTCTCGCAGGACTCGGCCAAGTGCGGCTTTCTGATGACTGTCTCTAGGTGCTCAACGTACTGGACCATGGTGCTACCGGCTTTGTCCAGCCCGCGGTGGTATTCATGCATCAGGAGCATGAGGTTACGATTGCGTCCTTCTACAAGAAGCTCGGCAGCGCCAGCTTCTTTTACCATTACACCCTGCTACTACTATGATCCCGATTAGAGCACGAAGATGATCTCCAAAATGGAGCTGAGGACTCTTTACGCCAGGCACCTAAATAAAGCCTACCTTTAGACCATGTATTCCCTAAACCCTAAACCCTAAACCCGAAACCCTAAGCCCTATTAAACCCTAAACCCGGGGTCCACTTACAAGAACCCAAAACCCTAAACCCTAAACCCTAAACCCTAAACCCTAAACCCTAAACCCTAAACCCTAAACCCTAGACCCTAATTAAACCCTAACCCTAAACCCTAAACCCTAAACCCAAGAAGAACTAAAACCTCAAAGCCTCAACCCCCTACGTATAATGACTAAGCCCAACAACCCGAAGCTCCCTAAACGCCGGCTAAGCTCTGAGAGTTTAGGGTTTGGGGTTTAGGGTTTAGGGTGTAGGGCTACTCTCTGAGGCTTTCCCACTAGGGGAGCCTCAATGAGTTTAGCCGTGCAGTTTCGGGTTTTGGGTTGAGGGTACAGGTTTTAGTGTTTAGGAAAGGCGGGGGGGGGGGGGCCTTCTGGTTAGGGGCTAGGGTTTGGAGTTTAGGGTTTAGGGTTCAGGGTCTAGGGTTTAGGGTTTAGGGTCTAGGGTTTAGGGTGTAGGGTTTAGGGTTTAGGGTTTAGGGCGCGTTTGGGAGCTTACAGGGCTTGACGAACTACAGGCTCCCCTAATATCTAACGGATCGGATGTTCAACCCCCCCACTCTAAAGCCCGAAGCCTCCAGCACCCTAAACCCTAAACCCTAGGTCCTAAACCCTGAACCCTAAACCCTAAACCTTAAACCCTAGCCCTAAACCCTAAACCGGGAGGTCATGAACATCTCCACTCCGGCGAACTACTTCCATGCACTCCGGAGGCCACGAGTTTGCTGAAAAAACACTAGGGTTTAGGGTTGAGGGCTATTTCCTCTATCTAAGGGAAGTTGCCTGGTCCCTGAGTGTGGTCCCTTACCTTCTTTCAAGGGTTCTGAGGTATGGGCCCTTGGGTTTTTATAGAGTATAGCAGGGGTATATCAGGGTTCCCAAATTAAGAGCATGCATGAAGGGATCGATTATGTAACTACCCAAAATCTTCAGGTCGCTGCGCGAATCCGCGAGAATCTTTGTTTCGTTCCTTCAACCCTGAAGTGGGGAGTAGGACCAGGCGCACAAGGTCTCAGGGCTTTTTGGGTGCATTTTGGGACTTAGGGTTTAGGATTCAGGACTTAGGATCTTGTATTCGGGCTTGGGGTGAAGCGTAGTGACTTGGGGGTTGCTAGGCCCGAATATAGGGACATATAGGGGTCGGAAGAATTACTAATCTTATTCCCTTATAGTTCCTTTTTGAATATACTATAACAACCCCCCAAAACCCTATTTTGACAATTTCGTCCCCTATATTACAACCTAAACCCTAACCCTAAACCCTAAACCCTAAACCCTAAACCCTAAACCCTAAACCCTAAAACCCCCCCTGCCCACTTTGAGGCAGGACATTGCAACTCAAGGCCAGGGCCTAATATGCAACCTCCTCTCCACTCCTCCTCTGCCTGATCTGGAAAAACCAGCTCTGCAGTTCTAGGGTTTAGGGTTTAGGGTTTAGGGTTTAGGGTTTCGAGTTTAGGGTTTTGGGGTTTGCAGAGTTTCTTTGGTTCCCTGACAAGGGGCCCTCCTTTAGTTCCTGAAGCCCCTGCTCCCTCGATGCAACCCTAAATCCAAATTTATAAGGGACCCTCAAGCCACCCCAAACCCTAAACCCTAAACCCCAAACCCTAAACCCCAAACCCTAAAACCTAAGCCCCAACCCCAAACCCCAAACCCCAAACCCCAAACCCTAAACCCTAAACCCCAAACCCCAAACCCCAAAGCCCAAACCCCAAACCCTAAACCCTAAACCCCAAACCCCAAACCCTAAACCCTAAACCCCAAACCCTAAACCCTAAAACCCCGATCAGGCAGCAACACCGCGACTTCCGCAAGCCCCTGGTCATTGCCTCGCCGAAGAACCTCTTCCGACTGCGCCAGCCTCTCGTCTTCCCTAAACCCTAAACCCTAAACCCTAAACCCTGCACCCTCCCAAACCCTACTTTTGGCCTAAGCCCTATAAACCCCAAAAGCCCTATAAACCCTATAAACCCTATAAACCCTGTAAACCCTGTAAACCCTGAATTTTGCCTAAACCCCAAACCCTAAACCCTATAAACCCTAAATGTTAGGATCCATCAACACTGCAACACCCTTGGGGTAGAGTCCACTTTGATTATGGGGTTGTGTGTATGTGTGTGTGTGTGTGTGTGTGTTTGTTTGTTTGTTTGTTTGTTTGTTTGTTTGTTTTGGCACCCAAGAGACTATTCTTGCTTGGGAGTATTGTATAAGATAGACGCACTTGAATGGGGTTTAGAGTCGTAGGGTGTAGGGAGGGGCATTGGGGCGATTAGGGCATGTCGGGCCTTGAGGGCATTGAGGGTTGAGGCCACTTGGGTAGCCATTAGGGTTTCAGGGTTCAGGGTTCAGGGTTTAGGGTTAGGGTTCAGAGTTTAGGGTTTAGGGTTTAGGGTTTAGGGTTTAGGGTTTAGGGTTTAGGGTTTAGGGTTTAGGGTTTAGGGTTTCAGGGTTCAGGGTTCAGGGTTTCAGGGTTCGGGGTTTAGGGTTAGGGTTTCGGGGGTGGGGCCTCTGAAGCCCTGAGTCCCTGGTCAGGTGCGTCAGCCCGCTGAACGACATGGGTCCTGGCGTGCGCTTCAAGCGTTTGATCCCGGAGCCTCTGACGGGAATTTCGAGCGGGAGAGCAAAGCCCTTAGCGCCCTTCACGGTTCAGGGATCAGGGCTTGAGGTTTAGGTTATAAGTGGGGTTATGAGCAAAGTGTATCAGTCCTACTTCAAGGTTCAGGGTTTAGGGTTTAGGTTGTAGGGTATAAGTGGGGTTCTGAGTACCTTGATTAAGGTTGTAATATGAGTTCCATTCCTTATAACCCTACTTATGAGTACCCTAAACCCTAAACCCTAAACCCTCAAGTAACCCTCTCTGTGAGACATGAAGTCCTGGGCCTCAGTGATTAAACCATGGGCCTCAGCGGCCAAGACCACAGCAGAACTGCCAGTGAACCGGTTTAGGGTTTAGGGTTTCGGGTTTAGGGTTTAGGGTTTAGGGTTTAGGGTTTGGGGTTTCAAACGTTTGTGTGCTGATGTCTTCTGCACCGTTCGCATCTCCCAGGAGCGAGATCCGGAGATCGCCGCGAACCCGGACAAGGCCCTGCAGAAAATCAACCCTATATATAAGGGTTCCATGTACCTTGTTATTTAGGGTTTAGGGCTTAGGGTTTAGGGTTTAGGGTCTAGGGTCTAGGGTTTAGGGTTCCATGTACCTTATTATTATATACTTAGGGCCCCGAAGTACCTATATTGATTGGAGGTACTTTAAGACCCAAGTATTCCCTATTTAGGTACATGGACCCTAGGGCAAGATTCCAGGAGTGCGCGCAGGATCGATTGCTCCAGAGCGAGCGTTTCTTGACACTTGGGGGCTGCGCAGAACGCACGGCACATGAGGAAACTGCTTTTGTTTGTTAGTTGTGTGTGTGTGTGTGTGGGGTGTCCTTGTTCATGAGGTCATTCTAGAAACGATACCAACATGCACAGTTCAGCTACGTGAGATCACAGCAAGATATATGTGGTCGCCTGCAAAAGATATCCTCAGGCCTTGAACAGTTCAACCCTCAACCCTGAACTTTGGCATCCTGACTGTAGAAGCCTATACACCTCAAACCCTAAAGCCCAAAAACTCCCGAAACCCAAGAATCCTACAACCCTAAACCTTAGAGTTTCAACCATTTCCCCCCCCCCCCCCCCGCCCGCAAACCCTAAACCCCTAAACCCCTAAACCCTAAACCCTAAGCCGTAAACCCTAAACCGACATGTAAGCAGGTAGACCGCCTCGTCTTCTGCACCGGAAAGCTTTACTACGAGCTGGCGGCCGAGCGTGAGCAGCTGCCTGGCCACAAGGGTTAGGGTTTAGGGTTCAGGGTTCAGGGTTTAGGTTTAGGGTTTAGGTTTTAGGGGTTCAGGGGTTCGGGTTTAGGGTTTAGGGGTTAGGGGTTAGGGTTTAGGATTTCGGGTTTAGGGTTTCGGGTTTAGGGTTTAGGGTTTAGGGTTTAGGGTAAGTCTTCTGAGGGTCGTGAAAGAGCTCCCCGAAACGGGTGCTTAGGCTGTATGGGTCCAAGGCTTATGAATCCTAAACCCTCCGCCCTAAACCCTAAACCCTACACCCTAAACCCTAAACCCTAAACCCTAAACCCTAAACTCCAAATCCCACGATTATTTTCGACTTGTTTGTAGTTCTGTAAGGGAGGGGCCTTTCAAGGAGGAAAGGCATCTAGGAACTCAGAGAACCTTAGGGATGCGTAGGGTTTAGGGTTTAGGGTTTAGGGTTTAGGGTTTAGGGTTTAGGGTTTAGGGTGTAGGGTTTAGGGTGTAGGGTTTAGGCTTTAGGGTGTAAGGTTTTAGGGTTTTTTGTTTCGGGTTTAGGGTCCATGTACCTAAATCAGGAGTACTTGGGCCTTGAGGGTACTTCCTATATAGGGACCTTTCGTCGGGCCCCTGGTGTATAGTAATGAGGCACATGGACTGTTAGGGTACAGCCCTTTCCAGATCGCGCCGCGTTGTTTCCCCTAAGAGGCTTAAGGAGCGGACCCTTGGTACTTAGGCACATTATAGGTCTATACAAGATAGATATATATATATATGTGTATATAATATGTATATATATATATTGCATAATATATATATATATATATATTATAAGGGTTGCATAGGGGAATAAGATTCAGGGCCCCTTCTCCTTCTACCCCTTCGTGCCCAGGCTTGGGCTCAAAAACGTGGCCATCGTGACGATCGAGCAGATTGCCCCTTTTCCCTTCGATCGCGTCAAGGCCCCACTTCTTAAGTCCGTCAACCGCAACCGGGTTTAGGATTTAGGGTTTAGGGTTTAGGGTTTAGGGTTTAGGGTTTAGGGTTTAGGGTTTAGGGTTGAGTCCGTCAACCGCAACCGACAACCTCAAAGCATTCAGGATGAAGTGGTTTCGAGGTGAGGCTCTAGGATTTTAGGGTTGGCCTTCCCATATAATCCCCTTAGACACCAAAGCGGGTACCCTTTTTTCTTCTTCCTGGGTCTGGCTTATGTACAGCCTCGGTACTGTGGCAGACGATGATGGAGACCTTCCCCAACGTCGACCTGGGTGACGGCGTCCATCCGGGCAACGCTGCTCGCCTGAGACTTGCGCTAGGAGTGCGGGGTGCGACATCCGACTCGAAACATTTAGGGTTTAGGGTTTCCTTTTTTAGGGTTTAGGGGTTAAGGTTTCGGGTTTAGGGTTTAGGGTTTAGGAAACCCCTGACTTGCCCTTATGAGCAGCTAAGCAACAAAAGCCCCCAAACCTAAAGCACGGCAGCCTTATTCAACAGTCATTGGTAGCCCGGTGGTACCCTTTTTTTTCTTTTTTTCTCTTTTTTGCTTTAAGGTTCCTCTTAAAGTAACCAAGCCCAGAAAAGGGTGCCCCTTGTTATGGTATGGTTGCTGGGCCAGGGGCTACCAAGTATTCAACAGCAACAACCCTAAACCCTAAACCCTAAAAACCCAAAACCCTAAACCCTAGAAGGACGAGAAACCTTTGATGGGCCACTGTAGCAGCTTTACAGGTTACAAGGCCAGAGTGCCATTAGTGCATGGTCTTAAGAGGTGAGGAGTGGTTTAGGGCTTAAGGCTTAGGGTTTAGGGTTTGGGGTTTGGGGTTTAGGCTTTCAAGTTTAGAGTTAGGGTTTAGGGTTTAGGGCTTAGGGTTCAAGCGTTTTTTTTTTTTGGGGGGGGGGGGGGGGGTCTCAGCATACCGGCAGTTTGAGGTCATTTGGTGCCAGGAGGAGCCCAAGAACATGGGCGCTTGGTCGTATGCGGCCTGGCCTCGTGCAATCCATGGCCTTGTGCACTAAACCCGCAAACCTCCTAAACTTGGTACTATAGGGGGCGGAATAACTCCCAATTAGGGTTTAGGGTTTAGGGTTTAGGGTTTAGGGTTTAGGGTTTAGGGTTTAGGGTTTAGGGTTTAGGGCCTAAACCTTTGTCATAGTGGGGTAGCGTTACATTTTTAAGGGTACTCGAACTCAGCAAGGAATAGGATTTTCAATTGTTATTACTATCCCACCAATGAACCAGAAACCTCCTGAACTTGGTACTATAGGGGGCGGAAGAATTACTAATGGCATTCCCTCAGGGTCCCTATATGATTCGACGATAAGCACCCCTAAAACCTCATTCTAATGTTATTCAGGCCCCCTACGTTAGCCCGGTGGTACCTTTTTTGCTCTTTTTGGGCTGCTATAGGTGCCGCTGTAACGTAGCCCACCCCCCCCCCAAGGGGGTACCTTTACTAGGATGCCCAGTAGTACCCTTATTCCCTTTTTGGGGGCTCTAGGTTCCCTTCTAAACCCCCTTAAGCAAAAAAGGGCACCCATTTTAAGCCTTGGTTACTGGGCAGCCTAGTTTATTATCATGTGGTTACTGGGCTACCAAGTACAGCCACTAAACCCGGCCCCTTCCCACGCTGATACCCGACAGTCCTTGACCCTAACTGTTGGATGAAGCCCGACACCGAAACCCTAACCCAAAACCCTAAAACCCTAAATAAACCATTAAACCCTAAACCCCCAAAACCCCAAACCCCATTCGACTGCCAGGTGCGACCTCGTTTCGTGACGACGGCGCGTGAGGGCCTGGACAAGGACATGGTCATGCGCTGGGATCTCAGGGAGGGGGCAGAGTTAAGCGTTTATTTTCGGGTTTAGTTTCAGGGTTCATAGGGATTAGGGTTTAGGGTGCAAGGTTCAGGGTAGCCCTAAACCCTAAACCCTAAACCCTAAACCCTAAACCCTATATAGTCATGGTAAGTCTAGGGTACGTCCTGGGTGTGGTGAGGATGGGCAAGCAAGTCGGGCAGGTGGATGACTCATGAAACGAGGCAGAGCCGTGTAGCCACACGCCTTGTCTTTGGTGAGATTTGTGACCCCTTAGGGTCCATGTACCACAAGGGTTTAGGGTTTAGGGTTTAGGGTTTAGGGTTTAGGGTTTAGGGTTTAGGGTTTAGGGTCCATGCACGCAGATGGGGAATATTGGGGCGTTAAAGTACCTGTAACGGCACTTTGGAGCCCAAGTTCGTAAAAAATGAGGTGCATGGACCCAAAGGGTTTAGGGTTTAGGGTTTAGGGCTACGGTTTATAGCTTACGGGTTTGACTCAAAGGTGGAGACCCGTTGCTCACCCCATCTTCGTTGGAGAGAACAACCCAAGAAACGGCACAATTAGTTAACGAGCGCAAGGAGAATACACATAAAGCCAAAGGCAACGCGCACGACTTATTGCTAGTTAGATTGCCGTTCTTCAATATTATTTCACTACTCCTTACCCCCCCCCCCCCCCCCCCCACGGCACCACAAGAACTAACACAGACCCTAGCTTAGAACAGCAAATCCCTCCCTCCCTCCTAAACCCTAAACCCTAAACCCTAAACCCTAAACCCTAAACCCTAAACCCTAAACCCTAAACCCTAAACCCCACACACAAGGTTACGTCGGCCGGCGTGCGGCCGCGTCGCCTGCCACTGGCTACCCGAAGCTGCACAATGCTGAGCAGGAAGCGCTGGTGAAGGCAGGATGCAGGGTTCATGAAGCTTGGGGTTTAGGGTTTAGGGTTTGGGGTTTAGGGTTTAGGGTTTTGGGTTTGGGGTTTATAGGGTTTTGGGGTTCGAAAAGTTTAGGGTTTAGGGGTTTTGGGTTCATAAATCTCTAGGTAGTCCAGTGGTGCCCTTTCCCCGTTTTGGGGTTGAAGGTGTTGAGACACGGGGCCTGCTTTTGCATGCTTCCATCCAGCAGTTCGATAGGGGCATGTTTCTCCCACGGTGTGGGCCAGAAAAACCAGCGAAACCAGCGAGAGTCAGTTTAGAGTTTCGGGTCTACCACCCACACTCCCTTCCCCCCCCCCCCTCTCCCCCCCAAGCATGTTCAGGAAAACCGTGCCAGGATTGAGAGGACTTGGACTGGTGTCTTAGGTTACTGCTCGCATGTTCTAGGGTGGTTTTCCGTGTTTTCTCTCACGCTCAGTTTCGGATATTTTTGCGTTGTTTTTACATAGGTGGTCCTCGTAGGAAAACTTTCGTACAGAATCTGTTATGAACATGAAGCACTTTCTTCAAACCCACAGAGGGAAAACCCGAAACCCGAAACCCTGGCAGCAGAGCGATAGGTTCCTTACAATGGGAGGGAAATTCCAGATGGTTGAGGCACTTATGTACCTTGGGAGCCTCACAGAAGCTTAGGAGGCTCAGGAAACCTAAACCCTACACCCTACAGATACGACGCAAGGAGTTTATTATTGTTCGTGTCCCTAAACCTTAAGCCCTAAATTCAGGGTTACGGTGGGGTGGGGTTCTGATGCTGAGGGCTGGCGGATTGTGATGCCGAAAGGAGCTAGAGACAGGGCTTACATAGGGTTTGGGGCTTAGGGTTCGGGGTTTAGGGTTTAGGGTTTAGGGTTTAGGGTTTAGGGTTTAGGGTTTAGGGTTTAGGGTTTAGGGTTTAGGGTTTAGGGTTTAGGGTTTAGGGTTTAGGGTTTAGGCTCTGCCAACGAGTCCAGCGCTTTGCTAGGAAGCCCTGGTGGGTCATGACGATGAGGGCTGGACCGCCACTTGACATGGCTTAGGGTTTAGGGTTTAGGGTTTAGGGTTTAGGGTTTAGGGTTTAGGGTTTAGGGTTTAGGGCTTAGGGCTTAGGGCTTAGGGCTCAGGGCTTAGGGCTTAGGGTTTAGAATTTAGGGTTTAGGGTACCCAGAGTAGGCCCTTATTCCCCTTTTTAAAGGCTCAGAATCGCAAGTTCCCCCCCCCCCCCCCCCAACAAAAAAAAAACGAAAAAACAACAACAACAAAATGCAAAAAAGTACCCTTATTGTAGGGAGGCTACGGGGCTACCGAGAATCAAAGGGGCCCGACAGTTTGAATAAACGAGTCGTTGTAGCTGGAATTACCCTAAACCCTTAAGTTGGAAGCACCCTAACCCCAAACCCTGAAGCCCTAAACCCCAAACCCTAAACCTTAAATCCTAGCCCTTAAATCCTAAACCCTAAGTCCTAAACCCTAAGCCCTTAGCCCTAAGTTGGGTTTTAAGGTTCAGGCGTCTTGGGAGCCCAGTGTTACCCTTTTCCCTTTTATTGGCTCTCTCGGACCGGGAGTAGGCCCTTGTTTCTTTTTTTCGGGTTGGGGTTCCCTTATAATCCCCTTAAAGCCAAAAAGGGTTCCTAGGCTACTCCCGGGCCTAGTTCTGGTTCCCTTATCAAGTAAGCAACCAAAAAAAGGTGCCCTGATTATAACATGGTTACTGGGCTCCAAGTTTAGTTCCGCAAGGCTTCGGAAGACAGGTTCGGGGCCGTGCTGGGTGCACAACCGCTGTTGCAAGTTGTCAGACTCGAGCATGCAGAACCTGGACTTATTTGTGTTCGGTTTCTCCTGCAAGTCGAACAGCAGGTCCAACTCAGAACGTTACACGTCAGACCCCATCGACGTGAACAAGCCAGAGTGTCAGACTTTCGTTGAAAGTCTTGCGTTCGTGAAGAAACACCGGCCGAAGTTCTACATCCTGGAGAATGTTTTGGGCGCCTTGCAGCCTCGCATAAAGGGTGGAAAAGAGACCCCCTTGATGTGGTACGAAGAAGCTCTCCAGTCAGAGTTGCCGGACTACACACATGCTGCGATGGTTGTCGATGCCTTGCCTCAGCCAGAGAGTCGTGCACGTGTTGTCCTGTTGGGCTCGTCAGACAGCAACTTCATTGTGTCAGATTGGGTTCGCGAGCAAAGGGGTCGGGGTTTGGGGTTTTGGGGTCTTGGGTTTGGGGAATCGGGGCGTAGGTTTGGGGTTTTGGGGCTTTGGGTTTGGTTTGAGGGCCTTAACTGTGGAATCTGAAGCCCGTAAGGCCCCCCCCCTTCCGACCAGGTACTCTTGTTTTTGCATCGTGCACGGACTCATGGGGTTCCCACCCCGCCCCTTCACCCAAAGCAAGAAAAATGAGGTACCCCTAAACCCTAAACCCTGTACCCTAAACCCTAAACCCCAAACCCTAAACCCTAAACACCCTACCCCCCTGCGATGGCTTCCCTCGCCTGAACACCCTAAACTCAAAGGGTTTAGGGTTTAGGTTTTAGGGTTACCCAAGCCCTAAACTCTAAAACCCTGAACCCTGAATCCCGTCGCCCTTAGAGGTCCAGCGCCCGCACTCGCTGTTGGGCCACCAGACGTGAGATCAGGAGGCCGGTGAAGGGTTTTAGGGAACTACCTGGCGGTTCATGGTACCAATTACAGCTGTACTTACAACCCACCTATGAGCCCCTTAAGTGCCCTAATATGGTTATCTGTACAGTTGTAATTGGCTGATAAGTACCATGAACCTCCAAGTAGGAGTTGAGGGGTTCAGGGGTTTGGTGCTTTAGGGGTTAGGTGTATAGGGAGTGATAGCGCAGGGTTTCGGTCTTAGGGGGTTTATGGCCCTTAGGCTCAAGATGGCCAAACAAACTGTTACAATAAGGACTTTGGTCCCAAAACCTCAAAATAAGAGTCCCTGTGAGCTCACCCTAAACCCTAAACCCTAAACCCTAAACCCTAAACCCTAAACCCTAAACCCTTGAGCTCAGGAGCTAAGGTTGAGGGCATTTGAGGAGGCTGTGATTCCGGGTGATGGAATTCCGTGTTTGTGGGCCTATGGGCTCAGGGATAGACGTAAGAAGACAGGCCTTGGGGGGCCTTTGAGGGGTTTCGGGGTTTAGGGTTTAGGGTTTTGGGTTCAGGGTTTAGGGTTTAAGTTCAGTGTCAAGCTAAGACTGAGATACAAGTGAAAGGCACCCTTGTTATGCACAGGTTGCTGGGCAACCGAATTTCAGCATATGGAAATAAGGGGCCCCAGGTCTCAACGGGTTTCGGGTGGCTTAGGAGTGAAGACAGTACGCAGGGTTTAGGGTTTAGGGTTTAGGGTTTAGGGTTTAGGGTTTAGGGTTTAGGTGCTTCTTGTCCGCAACCCTTATGGACGGGGTGGCTGTTGGTTTTCCGTTGGCAAGCTCAGGGATAGGGTCCAGGTCCTGCGATGCCCGAAATCCAAAATCGCTTGGAACCACTTGTGAGCGAGGTCGATGGCGCCGGAAGCTGTGGTTTCATCTGAGATCTCTGCATGTGCTGCTCCAACATTTGCAAGGCCTCGTTGTGTACAGGCTATCGGTGAGTAGAGCAGCAGCTGTTAATGCATCAGCGGGAGATGGGAATCAGTCCATGCCCAGCACATGCTAGTGCAACAAGGAAGTGCTGCACAGATGCTGGTCGCATCGCAAATGATTCTTGTTAGTAGCACAATCACAGATGGAGAGGGGTATCACAACATCATTGCCAGTATGCAGGACAACCATGACTCCTTTCAAGATCACACGTACGGCGAAGAGTTTCGGGTAGTGTTGCCAATGATCTGGAGGAAGGATGACCATTTCCTGCAACACATGCCGTTTACGTCTGGGCAAGTTCTATCAAGCGAATGCAGTATCTGTTTGTACTTGTCTTTGCAGGGCCTTCGGCGTCGTTCGGCTCTTGCATACTGCTGTACATCGATCGATTCAAGGTACAATGAGTGAGCGCGAACAAAAACGGAGCGTGCCCTAGAGCCACCATGCATGTGGGCGTTAATTTAAGTTTATTAAGGTCCCGTTTATGAGTATCGACGTACCGATGTCAAGACGGAGCCTTGTACCAAGGGTACCCCAACAGTGACCATCATGTAGAGGCCCGAACATGTAAGTCATACTAACATCGGAGTTTCCAAAGCAAGAATGCCGCCCTAAACCCTAAACCCTCAACCCCAAATACAGTAGACCAAATACAGTAGAATTCCCTTTCAAAGGGCCGCCCATAAGCTCTGGGGCGCTTGATGTTCCTTCTGCTTGCCTAAACCCTAAACCCTAAACCCTAAACCCTAAACCCTAAACCCTAAACCCCAGGTTCCGAGAGGCAACATGCCATTAGAAAAACAAATAATGTTCCCTTATGGTCCTTATATAATACTAAGTTAGAGTAACCCCCCGAAACCCCATTCTAAGCAGGAAAAATGAAGTGTTTCCTTATGGTCCTATCTCATCCTGTATCACAATAGTTTCCAAGAACCTATTCTAAACAGGAAATCGTGTTTCCTTATGGTCCTTAGATAATACTGTCTTATCATTGCCCCCCAACACCCTATTCTAAGTTATTGAGGCCCCTATGGTACAGAGTTTTGATGGTATAAGGAACCCAGTACGATTATGAAATTCGGTACCCAAAAAGCCATGCCAGGGGCAGGAATGGGTTTAGGGTTTAGGGTTTAGGGTTTAGGGTTTAGGGTTTAGGGTTTAGGGTTTAGGGTTTAGGGTTTAGGGTTTAGGGTTTAGGGTTTAGGGTTTAGGGTTTAGGGTTTAGGGTGCCCGACGCCCTACAGTGGAGCTGCCCTTGACCTTTTACGCCAGCATTCCATCCAAGAACCCTACGTCCGGAGCGCCACAAAAGCCCAATGACCTCAGAAGGGCCTTGGGGCAGGGTCTAGGACCAGTAGTAGGCCCTTATTGCATCTTTTTTATAAGGTTCAGGTCCCCTTAGAAGCCCTTGTAAACCAACAAAGAGCGCCGTTGTTGTTCCTAGTTTACTCTTGGGTCGTCCTAAATCCTAAACCCCAAACCCCAAACCCCAAACTCCAAACTCCAAACCCCAAACCCCAAACCCTAAACCCTAAACCCAAAACCCTAAACCCTAAACCCTTTCTATTCTTAGTTTACTCCTGGGATCTCTGGGTTTTAGGATTTAGGGTTTGCCGGCTTGGAGCTCGCAGAGCTGCGGTTTTGGGGTTTAGGGTTTAGGGTTTAGGGTTTAGGGCGGTTTCTGTAACCCTACAGTCACCGGGTTTAGGTTTTAGAGTTTAGGGTACAGGATGTCAGGCTTTCGGACGTTTAGGGTCTTGGGGTTTGGGGTAGTGATTGCCTACACTAGGCCTTTGGTAACTCTCGGGCCTAGAGGTTTCGGAGTTTTAGGGTGCCCGAAGCGATGACAATGAGGCTTCAGCAGACCTTAGCCAACTATTTGCTTAAGAACCCGCCCAACAAATAAAAATGAACAAGAAAAAAGTGTGTAGACATATATATATATATATACATATTATATTTATTCATATTTATGTTATATAAACTTCCACGGGATCATTGTTATTCTTATTCCTTTAGCTTCTTAAGCAAAGAGTGGTAACCACGTCGTCCCAGTAGGCCCAAGGCCAAACCCTGAACCGCACACCACAACCCCCCACGCCCTAAACCCCGAACTACGTTTCCCCAGGCCTCTTTTAGGCGTGCCACCACTATCGCCCTAAACCCTAAAACCCTCAGTCCCAAGACAGTGCCAACGAAGCAACAAAATTCCAAACCCAATGCCCTAAAGCCTGAAACCGAAACTCCCAAAGACTCCAAACCCTAAAACCCTGAACCTGAAAACCCTAAAAAACCCGAAGTTCAAAAAAACCAAAATCCTAGCCCTAAAACCCCCTCCAAAAGCCCTACACACACAGCGGCTGCCCTCGACTCTCCACCCTAAATCCTAAACCCCAAGCCCCAAACCCCAAACCCTAAACCCTGAAAAAAAAAACAATAGGTGCCCGCGACTCTCCACCTAAAGCCGCAGCCGAAGTGTGTTTCGCAGCGTGCGGCGCTCAGAGTGGGATCGCTGGCTAAGCTGGCGCCCAGAAGGGGCAAAAAGGGGTTTAGGGTTTAGGGTTTAGGGTTTAGGGTTTAGGGTTTAGGGTTTAGGGTTTAGGGTTTAGGGTTCAGGTTCGGCACTGGATGAGGGTTGAGGGGTTTTGGTCTTCGTTTTTTTTTTTTCGCTGTGCTGTCTGAGGGGTCTTTTGTCTGCAACGGCGGCGAGAAGAGAGTTCCTGGACTTGGGGCGGCTGACCCTGAACCCTAAACCCTAAACCCTAAACCCCTAAACCCTAAAACCCGCAAACCCCTGAAGCCAAAAACCCCTAGAACCCCTAGAACTCCTAAAGCCCTAAAGCCCTAAACCCTCAAACCCTCCAAGCCCTAAATTGCGTCCTAAGCCCTAAGACCCTGAAGCCCTAACCGCTAAAGCCCTGAACCCTAAAACCCTAAAACCCTAAGCCCTAAACCCCAAACCCTACCCTAATCCCCAAGCCCGAAACCTAAAACCCAAACCCTTAACCCCATAACCTGGGAAAATCTTGTTCCCTAAAGCCCTAAAACCCTCTAACCCCTAAACGCTAGAACCCCAAAGCCCTAAAGCCCCAAACTTAGAAAAGAACCTCAACCCTCCAAACAAAAAAAACTAAGACCCTAGAACCCTAAAGCCCTAAAAGCCTAAACATCTACAACCCCAAAACCCCTGGAACCCTCTAAAGCCGTAACACCCTAGCCCTAAACCCCCAAAAAGCCCCAAATCCGGGGGGGGGGGGGAGGCGGACTGCTTGTCATCAGGAAGCCTAAAACCCTGAAGCCCTAGAGCGTAAGGCCCAACCTCCTAAACCCCCTAAACCCCCTAAACCCCCTAAACCCCTAAACCCCTAAACCCCTAAACCCCTAAACCCCTAAACCCCTAAACCCCTAAACCCCTAAACCCCTAAACCCCAAACCTGGGGGAGAATCTTGTCATCAGGAAGCAGTCCGCGGGGCCGAGCCGCGAGCTGTGACAACAGCAGCCCCTCGGTGAAGTCAGCTTGTTGGGTTTAGGGTTTAGGGTTTAGGGTTTAGGGTTTAGGGTTTAGGGTGTAGGGTTTAGGGTGTAGGGTGTAGGGTTTAGGGTTTAGGGTTTAGGGTTCAGGTGGTGAAGTCAGCTTGTTGGGCTGACGATTTTTGGGGTTTTCGGGCTCTTTTTGAGAGTTGAGGTGTGGTTTAGGGTTTAGGGTTCACGGTTTGGGGCCAAGGGTTCTGGGGTTTAGGACCTTTTTGACGTTCAGGTTTTTGTTTAGGGTTTACATAGGGCTTAGGGTTTAGGGTTTAGGGAACCTAAGGTTCTGGGGTTTGGGACCTTTTTGGGGTAGTTGAGGTTTTTGTTTGGGGTTTCGCTTTCGTTTTGGGGTTTAGGGTTATGGGCTTTGATTTTTTTGGGGTTGAGGCCCTCTTGGGGGGGGGTCCTGGACCATTTCATTTTTCAGGGGGTTGCAAGAGCCGACCTCGCAGACCGAAACCCTGAGTTTAGGGTTCATGGGCCTGAAACCCCCCGAAACCCCCACAGC